AAACCCCTTTGGGTTTTACTATAAAATGGAAATGGGGAAACTGAAGCGTCGGTCTGCACCGTACACCGTCCTCAATAAAGAAGGTACATACACTAGCACGCAAGCGGAAACGTTCGAAACGATCGTGAACGCACTTATTGCGGACGATGACCCAAACTTGGACTCAGATGAGTAGGCAGAACTGCGGGAAAAAGTACATTCGTACAGAAACGCAAAGAATTGCACGCGATTCACCGGGGAAGAGCTTGATTCGGCCATCGCAAGCCTTAAGAACAGAAAGGCCCCTGGCTATGACGGCATTACTGCTGAAATAATCAAGGCCGTGTATACTAACATTAAAGAGGAATTGCTCGAACTTTTCAACGCCTGTTTGGTGAATGGTAAATTTCCAGACGCATGGAAACTAGGCCTCCTAGTTATACTTGCAAAACTGGATAAAGATCCTAGTTTGCCAAAAAGTTACAGGCCTATTTGCCTCCTAGCTGTGCTAGGCAAAATACTCGAGAAACTTATAGTGATGAAGATGGGCAAAGAGCTTACATGACATCACCAACTCAGTTCGGCTTTACAGCCGCCAGGTCTACTGAACATGCAGTTCATGAACTGTACAAGTATGTAGATGAATCTGACGCAAAGTACGTGCTAGGCGTTTTTGTTGATATAAGCGGCGCTTTTGATCATTTGTGGTGGCCCGCAATCATCAAGTCACTACGGCACCGAAAGTGCCCACAGAATTTGTACGACATCCTCAAAGACTATTTTGTGGGGAGGATTGTCATGCATAAAAAGAATAAAAGTGTGAAAAAGTGGGTCACAAAAGGTTGCCCGCAGGGATCGGTGCTAGGCCCCATGCTATGGAACCTAGTGTTTGACGACTGTGAAAAGTTGGGCGACAAACAAATTGACTATGCAGATGACAGAGTCATTCTTAGAGCAGGCAATTCTAGAAAAAAGCTAGAAATCAAAGCACAAGGGGCAGTCGATAAGCTGGATCGATGGTGCAAGCACAACAAGCTTGAAGTGTCAGCCCCAAAAACGAAAATTATGTTGCTTAAAGGTAAACTTGACATGAAACGACCTCCGGTAATCAAACTGGGGGAAAAGAGCCTCGCTAGTGTCAAACAGTTTCTGTACTTAGGGGTGTTGCTGGAGGAAGGGCTACGCAGCAATGCGCATGTCGGCAAAATTTGCGACACATCCACAAAGACATTCTTTGCCTTTGCTCGGATGGCCAAGCTAAAAGGAGCACTTACCGGAAGGACTAAACAACTGATCTATCGAGCAGTAATTGAACCCATGTTTAGATATTGTAGCTCGACGTGGGGCCAAAGACTAAATGCAAAGCATATTCAAAGGCTCCAAAGTGCTCAAAGGAAACCGTTGATTGCAATAGCAAGAGCGAATTCAACTACGCCGGGGCACCTACTACCACTACTATGTGGAGTTTTGCCCGCCGAATTATTAATTAGAAAGCACATGATGCAATTTAAGGTTCGCGTAGATACCGGAACCAAACTCTCGGCTGACCACCGCAGAGAAATAGAGTCGGATGTGTACGACACTTGGCAACGCCAATGGGTGTCGACACATGATTCTGAACGATATGCACATAGGCTCTGGCGGAACGTGCATGAGCGCCTTGCGTCCAAGTATGTTCCTGGAAGGAGTGTCACGGTAATCCTTACCAGGCACGGACCCTTAAGGCACTATTACAAAGAGACGTTGAACAGGGACGTGGATCCGTCTTGTCCCTGTGCAAATATTGAAACACAAACGGTAGCCCACGCGGTTTTCCGATGTGCACAAACCGAAGTACATCGTGCAACGCACGTTGAACTACTGCGCATTCTCCAAACAGGCGACTGGGAAGAGATTAGAAGCGCAAACATGTACTCAGAGCTTGAGTCCTTCTGCAATAAGATTCACTTAGAACTTATTCGCTTCGACTCAATGCTCTAAAAATTTGCATTATACCCTAAGGGACTTAGCCGAAGTGGGCAAATGCCTTGGCATTACTCACATAATGGCGAACCATGGACACTGAGGCATCGGAGTACATGTTTCTGGAAAGAGTCTTCGCAACTTCTTGGGGCACCCTACGCGACATAGGCTACCTGGCTAGATGTTTCTGGCCTTAATACCTTATGGGTAGTTCTAGATTTTAAGTTTTGGCAAACTTATGTAGTCGACGCTAGCAACACCTGGAGCTGTTTGTACGCACAGGACCAACAGGTAGTGAATGAACGCGCAGTCGGCGGGCGTCGCGATTCATGATTTGCGCCAGCGGCACGCAATTGAAATAACATACCGTTACCATGGGTTACCCAGAAAATCCCGGGTTATGGACGGTCCTCGAAAGGAGGGGAAGTCGTGGGGGTTGCGGCGTAGGTAGATAGTCGCTTGACTAGTGTGCACTAATGTATCGGTCGACTAGATATCTAGGATGCATTAAAAGCACTGGTAAAACACGGCTTAGTAATACTGGGCCGTGAAGATGATTCGAGTTATTGCCAAACACGCCGATTAAAAGCACGAACTTAGGTGCGGTTTATGAATAACTTTGGATGTCCCTCATAACCCCCTCCGGGGGCACAAGATTCGTCGCATATACGATCTTGTGTGGGGCCACGTGTTTAAGAGTGGCCTCTTCTGCGATATATGCGTATAGCTATTTTGAACACTGCTCAAAATACCCCAGGGATTGCCGACCTTGACGAGGTGGTTGAGCTCCTGCTCTGCAGGTCGAACGGAGATACATCTTAAACGTTTGAACGCAGGGACAGTGAGTTCTCGAAAAGGTATATAGGTCACGTGACCGCAAGCCCAACCGGTGGCGTGGGGCCTAAGGATGGCGACATCCGTAGGCGAAACGCCCCCCGTGAGTCGGACTAAACAGGCCTGTAGGCTGTCCGACAGGCTGACGGGTTTGGAGGCAATTGCCTTCGAACTCGAAGCCAAATCGAAGGTTACGAGGCCGGAATTAGCGGCGCAGCTCCGTGAGGAAATTGCGTCGCTAAGGAAGGCGTTTATCCTTAAGGACGAGGAGACACCGATGCTGGTTGCTCGCCTTAAGGTGGCTCGCGAGAGCACCAACTTGCTTGCACCAACCATAAAGAAGGTGGACCCTGCACCACAGAAAAAGGCAGGGAATACGACAAGAGACAAGTCGCTCAAAGCGACAAAAGAGAAGCCCAAGACGGCTGCTGGGGCCATCAAGGTTGGGCTTTCTAAAGGGAGATCGGCTGCGATCTCCAAAATAGCAGCGTCGATGAGGAAGGATAAAGAAGCGGCAATCCTAATCCTCAATAACCCAGTTCGAGTCGAGCAGCCGAAGCGAGCGGACGTGTCCAGCGAGTGCTCTCTAAAGTTACGATCGGTAGGATTAGCGTCGCACGGTTTTATACCTGAGGCGCGGTCATGCCCGGCGACGAGAACACGCGTGAACTACATTCACAGCTAGTGAAGCGAGTGAGTGTGAAAGTGATCGTGCGCGTAGCAAAACGCGCCAAAGTGTTTGCCCTGGTGCAAAAACTGTCTCCGATGGCAAAGCAAAGGTTTTGACAGTGAGTGTGTGGTGGTGCTGAGTGCAGTGCCGTTAGAAGTGAAAAGTGCTAGTGTTAGTGTAAGTGCGTATGCCGATGCGCTAACAGGCGCAAAGTGTGTGAAACAAAGTGTGGAAAGTGTCGAGAGTGCCGCCGTCGACGAAGCAGATGCCCAAAAGCTTTTTAGCTTTTGGATACCATCGCCGGAGCGGCACTCAAAGTGCGCGACAGCCGGGTGACGGTCACCAGAGGTGACCAAGCCCAAATAACAAAGTGCCTCGAAGATATTCGGGGCATTGTCGCATCCTGGGACAAACCAGCCGAGGCAATGACCAAAGCGGTGCCCCAGCCCATCATCAAACGGGCAAGGGATGCGACGACGCAGACGGCTGCGCCGGTCGTACAAGTACCGACCCCAGCAGCTGCCGAAACCTCCACGGCCACTAACCTAGCACAGCGGTATGCCCTACGCGCCGAAATATTGAAAATTTCGGGCATTAGCGGTAAGTGCGGGCAAAACCCCGCATTTACAGTTAATGGGGTCGTAAACGGCATCACCGACGAAACCGTAAATGAAGCACTAATCCGGGAAAACCCGGATTATAGTGATTATAAAGCGGTCGGTAGCTGCAGGGGCAATGACCTACGTCGTCAAAACGTAGTAATCGAAGCCTCAGAGGCATCGTGTAAAGCGGCAGTAGCAAAAGAATGCGTCGTCATTGGGCTGACGGCGCATCGTTTAGATTGCTTTATTGCGCCACGGCAATGTTATAACTGCTGGCGCTTTGGACATACAGCCGCCAAGTGAAAGCACCCGCTGCGCTGTAAAAGATGCGTAGGTAAGCACGCACATACAGCGTGTAAAGCCACAGCCGTAAAATGCACAAACTGCGCGGATATGCGGCTACCCGGGGGCGCACATGGCGCCACAAATACTAATTGCGCGGTCTACAGGCGACGGATCGCGGAACAACGGAATTGGGTGGGTACGAATTAATTTCACAATGGAATTAAGGTGCTGCCAATTAAATCTTGGTCGCGGTAAAGCCGCGACTAATATGGCAACACGTAGACGGATGTTATGTTCCTTCAAGAACCATACCACCGAATAAAAACTTATCCGGGATGGGACTTGTATGGAAAAAGCAACGCAGCGATCGCAGTCCGCAAAGTACATTCGTCCATAGAGTTGCGCCAGTTCTCTTCCGAAGAACTAACGGCAGTTAAGGTAAAGAATATTGTCCTGGTTAGCATCTACGCCAAGCCAAGTGGCAACATAAGCACACTTGCATGCACGCTTCAAAGTTTGCTGCAAGTTATTAAAGGTCCGGTGATTATTGCCGGCGACTTTAATGCTAAAAGTGCTATGTGGGGTAGCGAACTAGTAGATACTAGAGGCGCGGCCGTAGAAGACCTAATCGGAGCCGCAAACTTGGACCTGGTGAACGACCCGAACTCCTCTGGTTAGAGAAGACTTGCAAATTCTCTGAAAACCAATTTGGTTTTTGCAAGGGAAAGAGCACTATCGATGCACTAAAGCAGGCCGTGTGCCACATACGTAAGGCAAAGGTACAGAAGCAACACTCGTTACTCGTTGCACTCGACGTGCAGAATGCGTTTAATTCTGCGTGGTACCCAAAGGTGTTCGAATTATTGGAGAAAAGCAACTGCCCGGGCGACCTGGCACAAGCGATCTCTAGTTTTTTGCAACATCGTAGTGTTTCCTCGCAAGTGGTTACCGTAGGTACTACGCGGGGTTGTCCGCAAGGTTTTTGTTTGGGGCCCGTTCTCTGGCTTTTAATTATGGAGGATTGGTTTCAGGAAATACGAAATGTACAACTTGAGGCAGGTGTTCGGGTATCTGAACAGGCGTTTGCGGACGACCAGCTCCTGGTAATTACAGGGCCGCCAACAAAACGGATTGAAACTGCATGGCTGTCAATGGGCACATCAACACAAGCTGGATTACGCGCCGCACAAAACAACTGCGATGTTTGCCAGTGCGACCAACATACTGAGGGAGCCCCAGATCCGTCTCGGCGACATTGTCGTGACACCCACTGAGTCACTGAAGTATTTGGGCGTTATCATCGACCAAAAGTTGAACTTCGTTGAACACGTGAAATACGTCAGGGAAGATTGCAAGTGCTGGCCACAAGATCCGGGCCATCATTGGCAGAACATGGGATACACACCCACGTGTTCTGCGCAAAATCTATCTTCGAGCTGCAAAACCAGCGTTGCTGTACGCGGCGGAGATATGGGGTGAGAAATCCAAGGACTCGCGTATACGGAAGCACTTGGCCGCTGCCCAGCGACCATTTCTGCTTGGAACGCGTCTGTCCAAGTGCTGGCTGGGTGTATGCCACTTCATCTCGAAGCGCGGCAAATGCACGAACAATCAGTACAGATGGATGCACCCGACCTCGAACCCAGGATGAAAACGGCGGAAAAGTGGCATCCGGCGGTTCCAACACCGCGTTGGAAAGAACTTAAAACCGTCCCAGACGGTGAGTCATCGGAAGACTGGTTCTTTACGAACGCGGCGCGCAAAAACGACGCCATAGGAATAGCGGTTCAACAACCAAACGGTGAGTTAATTTGTTTCCGCTTGCAAGACGGATACCCGGTCCTCCGGGCCGAATTGCAAGCAATTAAATGTGCTATCGATACTGCCGCAAATATTTTTGTTACAGGTCGCAAAGTCAACATCGTGTCTGACTCGAGAGTAGCACTAGACATTCTCGTTAATGGCAGATGCGGTGTTGCGCAGGACATTCTCTGCCAAGTCAGAGCCATCGAAGGAGGCGGCTGCGAGGGGGTCAACTTCTGGTGGGCAAAGGACGCGAATCCTAGGATCAGGGCCGCCGACATTGCCGCACGGGAAGTGGTGGAAGCCATAGTCGACTACCCGACAATCCAAGCGCCAACGACGAAAGACATGGTGAAGACGAGGACACGGAACGGACGACACACCGCGATCATCTGCCATAATGTGGTCGAGCGTGATCACCGAAAGCTGTGTGCTCATGCGTGATCTGATTCGAGGACATTGTCAAGCAGGGAGTTCGACTGGAGCGAAGTTAACAGAGAGTTCTAATGTATTCTAGTTATAAATCTGGTTTTCCAGTAAAATTTTTGGTTGCAATCAATCCATCAGGTTTATTACTTTTGTATCAAAATCATATGGAGGAAATGATAATGATGGATTCATATCCAACGATTCCGGAATTCTTAATTTAATTAAAGCCAGCGATCAAATTCGTACAGATAAAGAGTCTCCACAAATTTGTCTCATAAACATTTGAAACATGAAAACTACTACATAACTTGCTGCCTTTTGATAAACTTTACGTTTTAAAAATGTCTAGGTGAATTTGTAGAAAGCTGCTGAATAGTTTTTTGTCAACAATTTAGCTGAACCACTATTTAAAAAATAAGCCACAGGGCAGCGCTAACGTTGCGCGCCAAAGACACTTTAGTAGTATTTTAGCATTTTTACTAGCAATATGGTATATGAAGTTTGCTAAATGGTCTATGTATAGTGTCATGTATGGAGTTGATTAGTTCATTTAATAAGTTGTTTTAATTTGTGTTTATGTACTAGTACGTTTTCTTTAATGTTTAGATGATTGTCTTTAAAGGATTTTAGTATTGTATGTATATTTTCTATTGTATTGTGTTTGTGGTTGTGTTGTAGTATGTGTTTGGCATAGCGTGAATGATATATGTGTGGATTTTTTATAGCGCTTGTGTGTTCTTTGAATCTGCTTTCCATATTTCTGTTGGTTTTGCTGATGTATATTTTATTGCATATGTTGCAAGTGGTTTAGTATATTCCGTTGTTTTTGCATATGTTGTTGTCTTGTATTAAGTTTGTCTGCACTTTCTTGATTAGTTTATTGTGTATTTTGTATGTGAATTTGAGGTGTAAAAATGTATTTGATGTTATATGTATCTTTATTTATGTAATGGAATATGTGGTACTTAATGATTCTTGTCATCAATTACGTTAAATTTTACAATAAAATATATACATGTATACAAAATTTATTGTATAATGAATTGTAAACTCCAAACATTCTAAAATATCGGTATTACTAGTATTTTAGTATTTTTACTCACAAGGAATAGCGGACGGTATATATCCGTCTGGAAATACCGGTATTTCATACAAAATCCGTAAGTAGAAACAGCAGACACTGCACCACAAAAGGTGAAGAAAAAGACAGATATCCAAGTCAGCAATCAAACAAAATCAACTGCCAAGGAGAGTCGAAAGAGAAAGAGAGCGAATGAAATGAATAAACGTGCCTCGGCCCCACCCAAAGTGGCTGGCACGCGACACATTGAAACATGCATGCCCCGCTGCACAGCTATTTTATAATGAATAATCACTTGATAACACTCCCAATCAAGAATTGAGTAGATACATTGGGTATCCACAGTACTCGCAATTTTAATCTACAATTAATATATCAGTATTTTGATAATATTTCATGTTGCTTTGCAGTAGTATTATATTTAATTTCTGATTAATTTTTAATATATTAATGTAGTCACTGATTTCCATTTTTGGATTTAATACTTGTATCGTTTTGTAATATATTTTTTTAGGTTTAGTTTAGTTTGTGTGTTTTTTTAACGGATTCACCGTACTGTAGATAAATTTATATGTTAGAACATGGTGTGACACCGCTCGCTGTTGCTGCACGTTTTGGTTCTGTTTTGGTCAACCCGCATGGCTTCGTTTAGTTCATGGCAATTTATATTATTATAATTATTATACTATTATAGTTATTTTATTGAGGATACTTCACTTGTAGATCAACAGCTTCCTTATTTGTTCACAAAGACTGATGAACCAGAACTAACAGACTACGACAAATTACCGACGTGCCGCGCCAAAATTGGAATCCAGCCCGTGGCCACCCCGCGCATTTTGTCGAATAGAGGGGGCCTGGAAGCCACTGTGCGTCGCCTTATTGGTATTGATTCCACGTATAATATAGGCTTCCCATTGGGTTACAAGAATGAAAATAAATATACCTAGGCAAACTGATTTAGAATTGGTTTATTTTTAAGGAAGAATATATAAAACTATAACTTTCACCGGAAATCAATTCTTGAATTTTAAAATCGACAAAACCACTTAATACGTGACGATGGTAGCAAACTATGCTTAGCGATTTTGGTCACAAAATAACACTCTAATTTTGAAAGTTAATGCCTTTGCTTTTTGTTCCAATCGCAACTCTTCTTCGCGATCACACACAATTGTGCACAGATATGGATTTTTTCAAAGGCAGCAATTTACACCGTACTTCAAAAATATGCTCTTAAAAGTAAAACGAACACCAAAAACAAATTGTTGTAAATTTCAGATTCAATCACACACTTTCTTAGCCACAATGTGATTGATTCACAACAAGTAAGACAGATTATTGACATTGGTCAAAGAAGAAAAGATTTCTATATTTAATTTGAATGCGATCTAAAACAGTTTAAGCTTTCCAATATTTATTTGTTTCAGGCTGAGGGTTAAATAGATACGTGTGCATATGTGTTTATGTGCACCACGAAGTATAGATATAAGGAGTCCGAACGTCATGTTAAATTAATGGTCACGATCTAGGGCACCAAACATGCGCCAATAGAGCGCGCCACTATGCGTTAGTGAACTCGTTTAAATACTTACAATACTATGGACACCGCCAATATTTCACAAGATACAAGAAATTATGACATATTTTTAAATCTTTGGGCTATCAGTTATAAATTAATTGTTTATAACACATATTTTTCAAAGATATTACTCACCTTTGGTGCTTTGAATAAAACTACTTTTTCTACCTTCTCACTAGTCTTTCGGCCACTAAAACATCCTGGAATAGCACAACACCTTCCCATTTTTTAACACTACTAATTTTCAACAAATAAATTAGTTCGAAAAAATAATACTATCACGTTCCAATTCAAATTAATGTATACATACATATAAAAGTTAACAATATGGATAACGCATTCGACAAAGTTTAAAAATATGTATTTTTAAATTTAATTGAATTCAATTAAAGATTCACAAACCAGCACGTGTTCACGTGTAATAATAATCACGAAGTATCTAAACACAGGAACGTCATGTAAACAAATTGTCTCAATGATGCTATCACGAAGTGATGCTATGAACACGAACCAACGTACATTGAGTCACTAGTGATTCAAGCGCAGCCAGTGGCAGAAAAGAGAACTATTAGCTTTGTATATAATTGTGAACCATGACTGCGACGAAAAAGTCTATACCGTTCGGACTCCTCATATCTATACTTCGTGATGTGCACGGTGAATATAAGCGGCTGAT